ATTCTTACGAGCATGTGCAAGAATCACTGATTATCATTTTATGCTGAATTTTGGTCTCGATTCAAATATTTCTAATTGAATCCATTCCTGAACAGAGATTACTGAAAGTTTGCTGTGAGTATTACAAAGTAAATTCACGTTTTAATCTTCCATGTAAAATCTAAATTCATATTGGAATATTTTGTGCAGGATCGTGACACCTCTCAACTCTCAATCTTTCTGAGCTAAAAATAGACGTCACTTAATTTAAATAATTTGCGAATCTCGCAAATTTTTCGCAACGACATAATTTTAAAGCGTTGAGTTTGTATTGAGATTCAAAGGCACGGATTAATGTTTATTAATTGGTTATTTACTCAGATCAGTGCAGGTTTTACCGTTCCTCATGCGGATTAAAAGAGTATGCCACAGAAATCGAGTTTTCTTTCATATGCTGTCGCTAGTGCTCAAAGAAAACTATGTTGATCTCCGTGGACGTCAAGTCGGACACTTCATCTTTAATTCATGTCATCCTGGGATTTTTAGGCATTGGTAAAAAGTTTTGTGGAACAGAAAAACAAGCAACAACCTAAAAGTTTCTTAGACCTTTGAATCGACTACAAAGTAAACGAAATGTTAGAACGACTATCCGTAGACTTGTTTTCGAATTTCACTCCTTCAAATTCGGTTTTTCTCCGACATGAACAAACGAAGATCTCTTCTGTTGATGCATAGTCTCGAATGATATTATTTGACACATATTACTAAAATGGTACGAAATTTTCGACTGATCTTACTGTCCTGAATATTAATCAATTGACCCTTAAGCAATTCGCTTCATCTACCGCTTATTGTGAACGCTTTTGTTTAAATTTACCCACTAACATTTCTATTTGAGTTTGCAGTAACATCATAATTCTTGAAAATTCGCGACTCCAGCTTATTGTATTCTAACTTTCCTAGCTCGCCCAATAGATTATGAGGAGCAGGTCAAACTGAGATGAGATCAAATATTGTCGGTAATAAGCATGGAATTAAATGAATCAAGTCTTCAATTGACCCCATGCAACAATATTAATAATTATTATTGTTATAATTATGTTGAATAATTTAATTAAACGAATGTTTTCATGCATTGCCAAACCTGTCTCGAGTGAAGCTACTCTTATTCTGCGAATAAAATTATTTCGTTTTATTCTTGTCTTTACTCAAATTTTTAAAATTAAACTTTTGATTTTAAATAAATTTTATACCTGAAATGTCACTAAAGCTGCCTCCTAACCAAGTAAAACTCGCACAATAGTTTGTAAAAGAGAGAAAACCGAGAGACCGGAGGCCTTGCTCATTATTTGATTTTTTTGGGGAGAACTTCTACCAAACAGTGAGTGATTATTTTAAAATTATACAGCCTGCGTCGTGCGTCCTGCAGCCTGCGTCGTGCGTCCTGCAGCCTGCATCATGCGTCCTGCAGCCTGCGTCATGCGTCCTGCAGCCTGCGTCATGCGTCCTGCAGCCTGAATGTGAAAGCATTTGATGATGATATGATTATTTTACCCTCTAATGATCATGATTTTGTCCCGTGCAAATAACCATTAATGTATTTCATGTAAACAGCATCCGATGTCTTCTTGTATGGATTATTAACTAAGCGACGAACAAAAATTACCGCCTGTCATCTTTTAGGACTTAGCAATGATCAATTACCGTAAAATAATTAAAGATGAATAATCACCGATAGATAAATAATTATCACCCCATTATTAATCACCCCATTATATTATAAATAAATAATAATCACCCCATAATAATCACCCATCACCTGCCCCATCACCTGCCCCATCACCTGCCCGAGTTTCCGATGGTCCTGATCGTGCAGTATATTTTTTATTTATTTATAACAAATGTAACGATTGTAATAGAAACAAATTGTATGCTTATGAACCTCGTTCATGCCTAAGATTATCACATTAATTGATCCCTACGGCGGTCAAAACATAAATCAGTGTCCTAAATTATGATTAATTAAGTCCTATACTTAATAATTCACACAGATTTGTATCGTTGGTCCCCGCCTGCATTGTCATTACATGGAAAATAAGATTACATCTTTAGATAGACGCAAGTAGCTTAACATAGTCGAAGGCTGTTGGGACGGATCCCAAATACCTAGTAAGTAATGCTTAAAATACAACGATGATGAACTATTTGCGCATAAATTAGGTAAAAATTTGCGGCAGAGTGAGATGGTAGTGATGATGGCGGGCTGGTGGTGGTGGTGACGATGCTGTAGTGACGACGATGGTAAGCGACTTGCGTAGTGTCATAAATAAATAGTAAGTAATGCTTATAAAATACAACGATGATGAACTATTTGCGATGATAAAATTTGCGGCAGAGTGAGATGGTGGTGATGATGGCGGGCTGGTGGTGGTGGTGACGATGCTGTAGTGACGACGATGGTAAGCGACTTGCGCAGTGCGGGGCATCGAGCAGTCGGAGTTGCCGAGTGTGAGCGTGTGCAGCGATGGCCGTTTCATGGCTTAACCATGGTCATAATCTCATGTTTAAAGCCTATCATGGTCGTTATTATTGTGTAACTAGTGCTCTAGTGTTCCATTAAGTGTTTGTGGTGATGTATGGTGATTTATAGTTCGCCCAAAGGTGGTAGTAGTGAACATATTTAACTTTAATCCGAGTTCAAATTTGTGGGTAGCTCTCGAGTAAGGATGCGCCCCAAGCTCTCCTCTCTTCGCCAAGATGTGTCATCTCTCGATGTGTATCTGCTGTGTTTTCCATCTCATGTGCTTGTGTGCTGTGTTTTTGTGTAATGTGTACTGACTAAACGTGTGTTACGTGTACGAATTAAAGTGAATTATGACCATGCAAGATGTGTGCAACGGAAAGCGCTTATGCCCGCTCGAGTCCCTGCCCAAAATTTGCCGTTGTATTTTACGGAAGCATTTTCTTTGAAACTGAAATCGTGCACTTATTCCCAGGGTTAATAGCACAAACCTGTGTGGTTAATATACAAATATCCATGATAGACATAGAAATAAAGAAAAAATCTTTAAATTGAGCGTCTTAAAGCCATTTAAAGGGATTTTTGACGCGAAAGGTCATAAGACTACTTTGATTTCTATAGAAGATATTGTGATTGGTTGTTGAGCGTATCACTTCTGGCTCGCATTGCACCACAAGCTGCATTATTTATTCATATTTACCAGACTACAGGTTTATTAACTTCCCTTTAAATGGCGCACGAATAGACGGAGGCCGAAAGGGGCAAATTTAAATGGTTCGTTTGATGTAAACTTTGATCTTTGGGAGACTTTTGTAGGGGCAGTTTCAAGTAACTATGATTACTTATAGTCCACCAGATACTGGGATTACCTTACATCCTGCCAGTTACTGCGATTACCTTACATCCTGCCATTCACTGGGATTACCAATTACATCCTGCCATTTACTGGGATTACCTTACATCCTGCCAGTTACTGGGATTACCTTACATCCTGCCAGTTACTGGGATTACCTTACATCCTGCCAGTTACTGGGATTACCTTACATCCTGCCAGTTACTGTGATTACCTTACATCCTGCCAGTTACTGGGATTACCTTACATCCTGCCAGTTACTGTGATTACCTTACATCCTGCCAGTTACTGTGATTACCTTACATCCTGCCAGTTACTGTGATTACCTTACATCCTG